ATCACTCTACCAGACCTTAAACTAGTAACAAATGGCATAGTATTAGCACCAAAATAGACTTGTAGACCAATGGTACAGAATAGAGGACACAGAGACAAACCCACATAAATATAGTCATCTTATATTAAACAAAGGTACCAAAGACATATATTGGAGAAAAGATAGCCTCTTCAACAAATGGTGCTGGGAAAACTGGAAATTTATATCAACAAAATGAAATTGTTTTAAATAGTTTATGACAGTTTGGGAAAGCAATTGTACCAATATTGATTCCTTCTAGCATAGGACAAGTTATAACCATTTCATTTTCTCTTAAGTGTACCACAGAGAATTCTGTTATTTCCTCTTTAGCCATATTAGTGGGTATATTTAAGTTGTATTACCCCAATGACCAGTGGAGCTGAGTATCTTTACATAGAATTAGTAACTATATGGATATTCTTTTCTGTGAAAGGCCTTTTCAAGTATTTGCCCATTTTCCTAAGATTTATCTGTCTTCATCCTACTGACTTTTAACCATTTTTATAAAAGGAGATATTTGACCAAGGACCTCTTCTACCTCCTTACTCTCCAAATCTTACCATAAGAGCAATAGCTACCATGTACTGAGGGGATTTATGTAATCATCTCACTAATAAGGTAATTATTGTTATTATTATTGTAGTTGATTATTATTATTGCCATATTCAGAGAAAAATATTAAGGTTCAAGGAAGGTAATCAATTGGTCCAACTGATGCAACTGGTCAGCAGCAGAGCCAGGACTGGGACCCAGGGCTTATGCCACAACCTGTGCTCTGGACCACAGCACTCCCTACGTCACAGGTGATCTTCAGATAGTCTTTCCATGATATATATATTAACCAAATTATGAAAAACCTTTCCTGAGTTTTCATGTACCCTTTCCCTATTTTATTTCTAATCTTACCACTATCTAACATAATTTTGTTATTTTATTTTCCTTCCATTTTAGAATCTAAGCTGTAAGAGGACAGGGATATTGATGTGTTGTACCTACCAGTGTAGTCCCAATGGCTTGACAGTGCCTGGTCCATAGAGTTCCAGGGTTTTTGAATTAATGCATAAATGAATGCATGAACACATACTAATAAATAAGTCTGTATTTCTTTATCCCCTCTGGGTAATGTTTCTAAAAATTGTTTTTTCTTCTCCTAGGAAAGTTTCCCTGCCTCTTTTCAGTCTTGGCTTCAACTCTGTCATTTCCTTACCATATGCATCTTCACACGCACTGCCCAACACACAGCCATCAATAATAGTTAGGTAGGGACCATGACAGCAACGGTCCCTAAGGTCTAGGTGGGTGCAACCAAGTGCCTAGACTAGTG